GTGGGTCTGAGCTCAGGGCAGTTCAGTGCAATTGCAGGTCTGAATACATTTGTTGTTGTGCTGTAATGTTGTGAAGCCAAAACATTATGTTAGGGTACACTTAAGGCTGGTTTCTCCAACACAATTTAACTTAGTTCAGCTAATTTTTTAGACTTAGTCACGAATAAACTGTGTAAAAACTAGGCTAACTTTTGACTTAAGTCCAAAAAATGGCTAAACTCAGTTAAGTTGAGTTGGAGAAACTAGCCCTTAGACCACAATGACGATTACAAAATCATGGCTACTAGCCGTGTCAAGCAAGGCACTGAAGTGATCCGACCTTAGAACCATTCCAACAGTGGTATAACACGGACTAAATGTGGAGACAGCTATCGCTCCAGTCGAAAGAGTGAGCTAGATATTTTCCTATCTATTTCTATTTTTTAGCCTGTTCAATAAAGCTATACTTCAACCAGATCGCACACAAAAGGTTCACTTATTCGCCTGTTCAATAGTCATACAGTTACCTCATATGTCTTAGCTTGAAAAAGCTTATTTTGCATATTCGACTTATGAGCATATTTTTGCACATTTTCGGCGAAAAACAGACGATAGATTCGTGAAACAAAGCGCATTCAACACATATGTTTTGATACTTCTGCTACCACCTTGTATGAATTCGCCTTGGTACAATGCGAGGCGAATTCAAGGCAATATTTAAGAGTATATTTTGGTAATATATCGAGGTTTTTACAACGCATATTTTCAGAGTTTTCTGGCATATATTTGCCGGCCCTGCTACTTAGCACGTTGGCCATGTCGCATGCGTAACATTACGTTCCTTCTCAAAATAGGCCAGAAATTATTGCCGTACTCAAAATAGACAGCGAAGATTGGAACGTATTGGATCGTTAATGTCTTTTTTCCAATTAAAAATGGATAAAGTGTCAAATTGCAAATCAGCTGCCTTGTGTTTACACGTAGCTTGCATTTACTTTGTACTTTTAAGGAATACTGAATGACACAATGGAATTCGAGAAACTAAAATTCAATTTCCAAGTGTTTGCATTTAAGTCGCAACAACAAAAAGCATTTGAACAGCTGGTTTCCAAATTCTGGCCACGAAATGTAGTTTTTTTTGCATTTCTACATTTTTCGCTTATTCTAGAATTACCGGACCCTGTCCGAATTCTACGGGAAAGAACCAATTCATCAAAGGCACAAAGTAAATTCCAGCAATATGTTTCAAAGTAACAAATGTTGTAAAGATTTTGTTTTTTTTCGGAGCGCAGGACGTAGTATTTTATTAAATAGGATTTATTTAATGTATTTCCGCAACTTTTTGTGAAAAGAATTTATTGAAAATAATAAATAAAATAATATTTTGGTGTTTACAAGTTCGCTTAATGTTCGGCCGCACTTCTGCTCCAATTTGCGATGTGCGCCTTGATGTTGTTACTCAAATGGTGGAACCTACAGTACTCGTAGGTTTACTGAGGCCAGTTATCGAACCCGGGTCTTTTGGACTGGTAGTACCCACCTTCAACGAATACTTTAATGATATTGTTCCAACTTTATTTAATGTTAAAAAAATGTGTGTTATAAATGCAGACCTGTTACAATTATTTCCATTTACATTTATTAAGAGATTATTTCTCTTGCAATAAGTATATAGATTTATATAAGTAAAATTCCGATGAAGAAAGTTGGAAATAAGCTGAGTGCTTTAAACTTCTATAACTCCTCTCCCATTTGCGTTACTAATAGAACAAATATTTGCTTAGTGAATTTGAGATAAAACATACAAAACAATAGCCATATGCATGCATATACAAACATATTTGTGTATGTAATACATATGTTATTGTGATAGTTTTTCTGAAATTTATAAGAAAATAATATTTGCAGCAGCATTGTCCTGGTCAGCATAAATACTCAAAATTTTTTAAATTTACTACTATTTTTGCAGCGGTTGGAAGTGTGATACACACAATAACAACAAATATAAAGATAATCAACAAATTTGTTTACACATTTGAGTTTTAGTTATTTGACGAAAATGTGGTGGGTGGTATGCGGGGAAGTAAAAGAGTGTCCTATCATTATTTTTGAATGGTAGATTATTTTGGAATGGGCAAAACGAAAAACTAATTGCTAAATGTGAGTGTATCAAAATATGTACATATGTATATGAATTTTTAAAAAAGTGTACAGCTTGCTTGGGCTCGACAACATTCCATTGTGTATGTATGTATGTACATACATATTTATGTGTGGGTGTATTTGTACAGGGCATCACTATTTGTTATTAAATTATATATAGGAAATTAAATATTATAAACTAATAACCAAAATTAAACAAGTAATTTTTAAGCAAAAAACACAACCGACTTCTATTCTTATATAAAAGTTTAGGAGTACCGTCAATTTCATGATCCAATGACCGGAGCTAAACAAACTTAGTATGGGGCCACCTCGGAGACACTACTTTTCCGATAGAAAAAAATTATCGAGACCGGTTGACGTGGTCCAAATTTACATACATAAAAAAAATATTCCAACGAATTGATAACCTTCTCCTTTTTTAAGTCGATTAAAAACAATTTACTAGTTAGGTTTATTATGTTTATGTATGAGGTTCGGCTTTTACATATGCGGCTATCACTAGCATTTTATTACTACCAATTGATTTCGAATTGAGATCATAGCTGGAGATCATTGCAAATCCCAAAAAGCTGCCAAGGTTTAGTTCGAATTTGTGGAATTCATTAACTTGATCGAATATCTCGAACTTGTTTGAAAAGGTCATGTAACTAGGCTGTGTTATCAACTGTTTGTACTCGCAAAAGATCGGAGCCGAACGTTTCACTTCTGACAAAAGCTTTAAATCATTGCTTTATCGAAACGAAAAAAAGGGAACAGCACTATGCGTTTTCAAAACGTCTAAAGCGCCTTTTCAAGATGAAAGGAATCGCAAATTTATAATCATTGCCCTATAGTGATTTTCGCCCTTGATTTGAGTTTATTCTTTTCATTGTCAAGGACCAAATGGTTTGATTGGTAAGTTAAATAGCATTAATTTTATGATCTTAACAGAGAGGCTATTGACTTTTAAAAGCCACTTGATATTCAAAATATATTCAATAAATTAGCTCACTCTGGCTATCACCTGGTAACTATGTACATATAATTAATAATATAAAAAATTATATACTTACATAAATATGACATCAAGTAGTGTGCGTCTTGATGCTATTACAAACTTAAAGGCGCTTACGATATCTATTTACATGTTTATATATATTAGTACTCTAACATAAATATGGCCACCGTTCGTTTGGCGATTCTACAGAACCGATTTGAAAATCAAGAACACCATATGGAATACATTTTTCTGTAGATGAAGAGAATTTGTATGGTTTCAAAGTTACATCAAATTATCGGATCAATTCCAAGTCCTGCCAAAGTCCTCCAATGACCAAAAAAGATATAAAAAATTGTAGTCACCTTATAAGTTAAACGACGTGCTAAATTAGGAAAACTCTCCAAGGCTCTTGAAAAAACTAGAAAACCGGTCGAATTTCGACAGTAACTGACACTACCAGTATTATTTATTATATGGAAGGTGTTTTTTTATTAAGACAGAAGTACACCTAGAGGGATACCGGTGTCTTTCAAGTGGCTACATACATATATTCAGAAAATTAAAACAAAAATAATGGTAAAATTTAGAGTAAAAAACTAGCCAAATATTTAGTACCCTTGAAAAATTCGTTATTACAACTAAAATTGAGTGTAGTCATTTATTTAGGTAAAAAATTGTAAACGCTCGGTTTAAGGCAGTGCGATGTTTACACAGCCACAAATTGTTAAGAAGCAAAACTCTTCTCAAAGTAAGCTCTCCAAACTAGGGTGGGTAATTAAATTCCTTCACGACCTAACCCAATTTATACTATGAAGATATGTATTTTAGACCGAACCATCTTACCAGCAAACAAACAAACGTTCGCCGTACACTCCTAACTCTTAAAGTACTTTTGACAGGCAATTAAGTAAAAATAAATTTTTTGGCCGTACCTTGGAGGTCGACTTTTAGTAATTCAGGAATATTTTTTACACTAAATAGTTCTATTAGGATAATAAAAATACATATTCACTTTCTTAGCAAAAGTTTAATGATTTTTGGTGAGGTTAAATTTACCGATATTAGGGTGGTACGTAAGTGTGATAAGAAATGAGATCTAGAGGGTAAGTACTAGAACGGGGTATTTGAGGTCAAAGAATTTTGGAACACAAAGAAATTGTATCCTTGACAAAATATCGATATATCATAACTTAAGGTCCAACTTAAGTCGGTTAAAAAAATAATTATTTTCAGAAATGCCCTGCAGAAAGAATTCAAACCCAGAGTTGGAAGACGAATCCTTATTTTTCTTTTTTGGGTACGGTCTAATGTAAATATGTATGGTATGGTTTGTGTGTATGCATTTCTGTGTGAAATATTTCAAGTTAACTGGCAGCTGACTGGCGCTGCCTGCCATTGGACTAAAATTTGCATAAGAAATTAATTTTCCACTACTTCATTCACTTACTCGCTCTCTGTANTATGGTATGGTTTGTGTGTATGCATTTCTGTGTGAAATATTTCAAGTTAACTGGCAGCTGACTGGCGCTGCCTGCCATTGGACTAAAATTTGCATAAGAAATTAATTTTCCACTACTTCATTCACTTACTCGTTCTCTGTATTTGCGTGCCACAACCAAAACGATTTCCTGCACTCAACATTCAACTGTTCAATAACGCTTGCCCTTTTTCCAACTCTCTCTTCTCTTTTATTCTACTTTCATGCTGATGCTTGGTTAACTGCCGCCGCTGCTGCTGCTGTTCTTCGCTTATCCGCTACTCTGTGGCTGCTGAACGTGCCGTTGCATCTCGTTGCAACCATGCCTATCATCCATCCACTTCCGATGCTGCGCCAATTGTTGTCTACCCCTCGCTACGATTTTACGTTTGGTTGCAGCAATTGTAAGCCCTGCCCGGTGGCTAAGCCAACTTTCTTATGCGGCGCCGACAACCGTACATACTCATCGCTATGCAGATTGGATTACCACAACTGCATACATTCAACAATCATAAGGATAGCCTGCAAGGGATTCTGTCCATGCAAGGGTAAGTAAAGGCAGACATTATTAGTATGCTACATATATAAATTTTGTCGACCAATAACTTGTAGCGTCTCCGCATTGAAATCAAGAAGCAATTGGTTTGAGAAGGGCAGGCCCCAATATATACAATTACTTGCTGGGTGACCATCTAGACATTCCATTATGTATGTATGTGGTAAAGGACTCAATAGTCTGTTTTTTTTTGTGTATCAAGGAGCTCTTCTAAAAATTAAGTTGTCTTAATACTGTAGAAAATGTAAATCGCCAGTTGAATGCTTTCACTGCAATTTGCAATTTGCCAATTGGAAAAAGAGCAAAGCATATTGCGTTGATATAATTGAAATTACAAATGAAAACTTGCAGTTGCCGCTAGTGCTTACATTAGGTCTTAGGAGCCAAATTGATGCATTTGCATTTGAAATGATGTTGCAACATTTAAAGAGTAATGAGACAAAAGTATTCGATCAAAATGATTATGGAACCTAAATCGCCTTTGGTTATCAGATGTTCACCCAGGTGCATTTTGCGTTCGTGCATCTCAGTGCAGGACATTCTTCTAAGATGCAGTTTCATTTTCCGTCCTGAAAAATCTGCATCGCATCTGCCCGGAATCCAGAGAACCCCAACCTGATTGGTCAGACCAAGAGTATTCAGCTTGTCAAGGCACTCCAACACTAATTTAGATGTTACCTGGTGAGATCTGAGAGCCAGGATAGCCGCTTGGCTGTCAATTAAGATAGCGATGTTCTAATTCCGGTAGTTTAGCTTGATATTAAAGTCCGCGCCTCTTTCTATGGCATATGTTTCAGCCTGGAGAGTAGACATATATACATATGTTTTCCCATGGGTTCCAAGTATCTTAACCTAGGCCCAACTATCCCTCCCGCGGTACACTCGTCGGTCATTGAGCCATCAGTGTGCCATTTCTCTTATTTAGATACTGAAACAACTTTCTAGGAGAGTTAAGGGCGTGTCAGACGTGGGAGTATTACCAACTTGTCCAAGCAATTCGATGTTTTATTTTATTTTTATGAGTGAACAGCCAGAAAGACCTTTCTGTCACATTTCGGAAACCAGTTTCAGAAATAAAAGTCAAGAAAGAGGGAAGAATTCATTGAAAAATAAAGTGGCCCCCATATCCGGATTCTGCGACTACAAATTCACAAACAAATTTATTTTTATTTTTGTTGAATAACTTGTTTGTCCTATTTGTCCCTCAAATGACCTCGAAGCTGACATTATGGATTTTAACGGACCTCATATTCGGGTTCATCGAGTCTAAAACCCCATACATATATATATATGAATTTTAGTTTTATTTAATGATATCTTTCCCTACTTTATCTTCAAATAACCTCGAACCTGAAGTGATGGGGGCCAATTGACCTCGGATTTGCATTCAGCTCGTCGATTAACATAGGGATGTAGAGGTTTGGTTCAATATGAAGACAGCTTTTTTTTCTTTGTAAACCTGTGTTATTTTACGGAATTTAATTGTTTTGCTATAATAAATTATTCTTCAAACTGAAAATAACGTTCATTATAAGAAGAAGATAAATAATGAACAAGCGGCAAAGTGGCTCACAGTTGCATTTCGTTATCGAGAAAGATTTTCAGAAGTTCATTCGACGTGTGAAAAGCCAAAAAGGATTAAAAAAATTTCGGCTTTCGAGAACAAAAAACTTCTTTCGAAAGACACATGCAACTGCTTTCTGAAATTTCTCCACTTGACAGCCTTTCGAAATATATTGCAATGCCACGTCTAACACGCTCTTTACTTAAGATGTCAAGCCAAAAAACAAAAAATGCATTCAATAGAACTAAGGGCACCGTTGCCACTCTGGTCGAAATGTGTCATTATTATTCGTACATTTTTTTCAGTTCGGTACATTGGAGCATAAGCTTCAGTTGGTACTTTTTTAATGTCTGGTAAAATAAGATAATTATTACTTACATTATATTACGCATTTATAGGTCACGTCTTAATGTGCAGCCCCAATCCCAAAGTTATTTCTAATGTAATAAGCGCAAAACTGTAAAGCGGAACTAGGCGATATTAGGTTTGAGCCCCAAGAAAGCTCAATATGCAATATACTTAACGCAGATAAGCTATTCACCACTTAGGTGGGCTGCAATGAAGATAGCAATGACTCTATATTAAATATAGGCAGCCATAAAACTGACTGAAATATGAAGCTCTGAAAAGGGGCTGCCAATAAAAATACTAGAGTCCCCCCTACGAGCCCTTCACCAAACGAAAGGGAAAATATAGTAAAATTGCTATGCGCGCCAAAAATAAATTTAGAATGGAAAAAGACACCGACTTCCACCATTTGCTATAAAAATTTCGTTTTTTGAGTTATGACAGTATTTTAGTAAATGACCGATATGTACTTTTACCTTACACTCGCCGATTCGAATGCGTGTCACGGCGTATACGCAACCTCTTCATTATTACTTGCTCTCGGCTAAGAGCGTATCCACTGTATGGCGCGCCTGCAACGTCAACCACTTAATTGCTGTATCCTGCATTCCGGCATTTTTATGCACTCAATGTAAATATTTTCCATTCAATTATTTTATGTAAATTATGTTCAACATTTTTTGTTGCATTGTTTCGATTTTAACCGCCTATACTCATTTGCTCCTGTGGTTTACTGACGCAGGTTTTACACACTTTTTTTATTATAATATTAATTAGTTTAATTACGTTTAAGCTGATAAGTTTATGAGTGACATGCATTCATTTTGAGATACACGTATCTGTGTATGTATTGTTTGCAAAACTGATTATTGAAAACAGCCAAACCAAAGTTGTGCCGCCTGTGGCAGAAATAATGTTAAAGATGGCGATCAGCCATCCCTTTGCTCTCTGCCGAACATTAGATACCCGGCGCAAGTATGAAATATAGGTTTTTTTCACCTTTCCGAAAAATACCGCTACATGGTATGCAGGGGTGATTCTACTGCTATTTCTTCCAAAATTCCAAATAATGTTACTTCTTTTCAAGGGATTGTTGTTAGTATCAATTTTGTGAAAATTTGCGTGTAGATTTAAACTTCCACATATGTACATAGTTTATGAAACATAATTTTTTATTTTTACTTTCGTCAGATAGGAATTGTAGCAAAAAATTAAGCAAACCGAAGAAGAGTTATTATTTAAACTGCACAAATCTAAGCAAAACGGCAACGCTGGATATTAGAGAATAAGAACAAAATGGTTTACGTCGCGTCGTTTGAACGAAAGTATTTGAATTTATAGAAAACAGAATGAATTCGACTGCCAATCACGCAACATTAATTTTCATTCATTTGAATCGGCATACATACAATAAATTTTTGTATGCATATAAACTCCATTAAATCCTCAATAAAAAATTTTGTGCTTTTTTTTTTTTAAGAAAAAACGCGATTTTTCTTGGGTTTTAGTGCTTTTTCAAATTGAAAACTTGGCAACACTGTCCACAATATTTATAAAAAGGTAGAAATTTGTTGCTCAAGGTGCATGGGGATAGTTCTCATAATATCTTAATGATAAACAAACTCTTCATTTTGTCCTTTTGTCTAACACTGGAGTTAGGATAAAGTGCACTTTAACCATAATGACCGATAACAAAATTTGTTTGTTGCCAAAATCTGCATGTTGAACATATGTATTGCAGTATTTCTATCGTCACAAATAAATTAGCACTGGTCATGTGTGAAATTTATTTTCACTGTTCACGTAAAATGAAAATTTATCGATGTTATTAACTTGATATGGCCAAATAACATTATGAATACACCACACACATGACTGTAAATGCGCAATGCAAATGCAATTACTACATACTAGGTATATGTACGTATAGTAAAACTACAGAAAATATGTGTGCAAACACTGCACGATGGGCTATTAATTTATCGTACATACCTATCCCAATATAGAGTAAACAGTTTTCGTGACTTTATGTTAGTAAATTTTCTACACGATACTAATTACATAGTTTATATACAAATATATATAGTTATGCATGTATATACCAATGTATACACATAAGTTATGTACAGCAAAAACATTTCGTGTGGCTTCGCACAGCAAAAAAAAATATGTATATATTTACTATCGCTGAGACACTAAGCCGCTTTATTAAATCCTGTTTGTATTGTGCCACATTAAAAAAGGACAATAAATGAAAAGCAAACAAACAAGTTAAGGCTATTAAAAATGGCGGTTTTAAAATAATTCCTCACGAATATAACCTGGTGGTGGTATTGTTAAAATAAAAATGTTTTAGTTAATTTTTCACCTCTACCCTCTTAATTGTTTCTGTGCGATTCTGCACTCATAAAAAGGGTTTGTAAAATAAGTACATTTTCCGGTATGCTTTTAAAAACTGCATCTTATCAAACCCGAAAATTTGCTTATCAAAAGTTTGGCAGCCGTCCAAGACAAGTGGTTAGATTAGCATATAATCTCTCAAGAGTACCAATGATTTTATCGCTAAGACAATATCGCACCGTAGCGGTCGGAAAGTGCACAGCACCACCACTGCCCTCCGCGCCATAAACACTCCGTAGTATAAGGGTTGCCTTAACCGAAACAAACCGTAGCCCTGCAGTGAAACCCCAAACTAGTCAGGAAAAATACTAGTTGAAATATAATACTCAAAAAATTTAACACTAATTAATGGCAAATCTAAGGCTGCTAAATAAAAATGTGTAATATATTATAGTGTACTTAATCAAACGTTTTTTATTGTACAATGTACATATATGCATGAATTCATTTAATTTTTTGACGCCAAAAGTAGTGGTTTCGGTCCATAATTGGACTAGTATTTTTTTGTTTATTATGAACTAGTATGAGACTGGTATATTTCTGACCGAAATATGACAATTGCCATCTTGTAGAACATCCCCATGTTAAAAATACCAGTTCATTTCATGGAAAAATATAGTTGGCTGACTAGTTGGGCGGTTCATACTTGTTGTAAGTTAGTGTAAAACTGGTACATTTGACTACAGGGAGTAGATAACTCTCCTCGTAGCTTCTGACCCCTAGCGACCTTATTTCGGACATGGCATGATACTATACGTCAATGTTGAGGGCACACCAATTTCTATAACATAACAGTTTTTAGTGTCACGTTTGACAGCTAGAGGATGAATTACAGCATTACTAATCGCATGATTACGCGTTTCGATCCAGTTATTGTCTGGATCCAGATCTAACGCCGATATACCAAACGTGTGTCCAACATATAGAGAGAAACTCACGGCACCAACTAACTAAAACCCAAACTCATCTAACAACCTTTTCTTTTTGGTCAGATCTAGTTGGAACTAAAATCTTTCTACAGCTACCCTCAGATGATGCTGTCAATGGTCACCCTTGACAACTTCACCGATCTATGCAGTGTTGTGGTAACGCTGCTACAACAACAAGATTCAAGCTCGGTTTTTCTAATAACTATCGACCTTCGGCAGGCAAGTAGCGATAGTCGTAATTATACCGGAGGCTGATATGGAAGAGACTGCCAAATGGAATACCACTGTTCATTTACATTCGACCGATGATAAGTTTCTGGTTCAAGGATTAAGAGCCGCATGCGAAAATTTTCTTTCATGAAAACAAACTATTTCTTCATATGTAATTCTTTATTAACAACTTGCTTCTGTGGTTGAAGATTCAGAATCGAAAGATTTTTTTTTATTGCATTTAGAATCATAGATTTAGAAATATTCGAAAAATTGTTGGGTCGCAACAAAATTTACTTTCACCTGTGACTGAGAAAGTCTTTTCTATGTATCCAGGATCCGTGCAGCCTTCGAACATTATTCTGTTAATTTATGTATTTAACAAAATAGATACTGAAGAATTTTCTCGAAAACATTGAAGCACCTCAGCTAATGAACTTTTATTTGGAATACTCCATACTAACCACAATTAATAATTTAATGAATAAATTTACTACTCCATACTATTTACTCTCTTCATTCACAGTTACTAAATTTCTCGGTTTTTATTTATTTTTTATTTGCCAGAAAATACCGATGGTAAACGCTTGCAGCGTTTGAATGAGCGCCAAAGCGCTTTCAATGCCAAATATAAGAAGACAATTGAACAACAACAGCAGCAGCAACAACAACAGCAGAAACAACAAATGCAACAACAACTCATGTACAAGGACAACAGCAATAGTAATAATATTTTGGGCAACTCGAACGATAATTTGGACAACACTTTGAATAGCAACAATTTTAATGCTATTATGGATGTAAGTAAAGTATAAGATAAGTAAGAACCGTAACTAACCGATTACAAACGAGTACTATGCGTATTATTAACGAACTTGAGGGTTAATTTTGCTCATTGAAATTAAAAAAAAAAAAATTAAATAGTTTAACTTGTTTCGGCAAAAGAAAAGATGAAATAAGCACAACACAGAAAACAGAGACTTTGTCTTAAAATGATAACTAAAAATGTGTTGCTGATAAACAGAGTAACAGCAATAGGTAGCTATTTAGAATGAATTTCTCAGATTTTGATAAGCAGCTGCTATGTAAATCGGCATTGGCACAGTCTTTGATTGTAAGTTTTGAGAAAAAATCCTGAAAATTGCCAATTCTCTCGGAAGAATTAACAACCATAAAGTGTAATAAAAATAAGGAGCAAACAGTTCACCTATTAATTTTTATAAATCCCGCTAAGGAAAATTTTCGATGTAATTGTATTCTGAATTGAACTCTTGAATTTATTTTACACCATTCAGCCAAATCCCGGAAAAGTCAAGAAAAGATCATAAAGTACCCGCAAAAATCTTTAAAAAAAAAATGCTGAAACGTAAAGCACGAATAATCTCCAATCATTACACTACACGGCAAAATTTACTTTTTTTCTGGGTATTGCATCAAACCAATTTTTTTTTAAGAGATCGAGTCATAAGTAAAGAAGTAATTTCTCCGTTTTTTGAAGTTAGCTTTCAAAATTGAGATATGGGCCTTCGAAGTTCGCAATAGGTAATTTGTTAAAAAATTATTTTTAAATATTGTATGTAAATAACTAATAAAGTTAAAATATATACGCAGTCCATCTTTTCTTTTATTTAAACGGTATGCAAACTTATATTACAGACTTAAAAATAAGTTCAAAATTTTTAGAAATACATATAAGGTTGTTAATTTTTCGAAGATCTGACCTTTGACCCCTTATATCACCTGTATAAAAAGTTAAGTAAAGTTATATAATGCTTTTTAGTTGTTTACATATGATAATTAAAAATATTTTTTACATAAGGTCCAATTTCGAACTTCGAAGGCCCATACCTCGATTCCGGTGGCTAGCTTTGAAAAACGGAGAAATTACTTTATTTAATTAAGACCCAATCACTTAAACAAGGTTAGTTTGATCCCAAAAATTTTACCCTTTTTATTTATAACATTTAGAAAAAATTTGGGTATCATGCTTTGTAGCTCATTACAATTTTAGTAGGTTAAAGTGCAAATATTCAAGACGCTAGAAAATCGCGTTGATTTTTAATAATTATTTTTTTTTTGTCAATGTTATTGTGGCTTACTAACATTATTATTTTTAATATTTTTTTATTGAGCTTTGCACCACAATTGTTTATTAGGAAAAATTGAAAAAGCAACAAAGTCTAAGCGGTTGAAGTTATAGCAGCTATTTCGGAGATCACCACATCTCCTCATCAGGAAAATGAATTAGCAACAACAGTTTACGGGATGTACATAGCTCAGTGGTTAACGCTTCTGACTTTGAACAGCGATTACGCAGGTTCGATCCCTGCTGAAGTCTAGAAAAAAGAAGTCTGATATTTTTTTTTTGCTGATGGCGCCAGGCAATTTCTCCCATAGAAACGAAATGCACAACACGGTCAGCCAAAAAAAGTATTAAAAATCAACACGATTTTCTAGCTTCTTGAAATTTGCACTTTAACCTAGTAAAATTTAATAAGCTACGAAACTGCATACCCAAAACTTTTTGAAAATTAAATTTTGAATTGAAAGTTTAAAATTTTCGGGTGCAAATGTTAAAGTTTGTCCAATTTGCATAATATTTGTTTGAAGTTTGAAATGTGGATTTATCTAAAATTTAAATAAGAAAAAATTTATGCCATTTAAAAAAACGTAATGAAACGATTATTATTTAAAGCCCAACTTTGTCATTTGTCATTTTTGCTATTTGATTCCAAGTGGAAATCTAGCATTATTTATGTGGCCTAACCAGCGCTAGAATTTTATAAAAAATAAATATAAACATTAAATAAACAAAATCAAAATAGCCGAAACTAGTCAAAATGTCACTTGACTTAATCAGCTGACCGCAAGGGTATGTACAAACATTACGGTGTCCCATAAACAAATGTTGCGGTTTTTCCATCGGAATCATAAAATTTAATATATTTGACGCCTTCAAAAGTCTCAGTATTTTGTTTCGTTGATACAAATTAAAAAAAAAAAATTGATGCAGACCTCCTAATCTTAAACTCTTCTATCAACTGAGTTGATTTTCGAAAAAAAATTTTTTTGAGCAAATTTTATTTATAAAAAACTGGATTTGCTTTGGCTTCATTACTTCATTCGTCGTTGGCTGCGTGGCTTCGAAATTGTCAAACTAGTCAGCTTCTGCATCAGCTAATACCAGTTACCGAACTAGTAAGCGTCTCCACCAGTTTATACCAGTTAATTAATAGCTTACATTTCCTACACGTAAAAAATAAGGATTATTCTCAAAGTTGTGTTTGTCAACTAGCAAACCTTCACTGTGGACCCATACATACTCTTCGTCATACATATATAACATATAATTACATACATACATATATACTTGTAAATATAAAATTTTCATGTTTGATTATAAGGGACAAAGCATTTTGGGAGTTGTATGTATATTGATTTAGGTGGAACATAAATTTGAGCACAGCCGTGCACAGCGAATTGCTACCTTTTGTGCAATTCCCTGAATAAATAATAATCGTAAATTTTACTTCAATTTCTACAACGTCTGTTCACCTTTTTTTTTACTACAACAAATTTTTCTATTGCTCTAAACCATTGTGCTTTCTTTGATTTTTCTTTTCGCTTATTTTGCACTGCTGCCGTACCAACGCACCAACGCACCTCCACCACCACCACCCACATGCCACATTGCTACCGCTGATTGCTTTCGACTCCAATTCGGACGCCGCTTTTTTCGTTGCTTTTCGTTAATGTGTTTACTGGTGTGGATCGTTGTTTTCACATTTCCGAACACGTTATTTCGTCGCACCGCTCTCACTGGCGCCTGTTTATATTTTGCATTGGCTTCCTGCGTCGCTGTTCACCGTTATCACCATTATCGGGCATCATCCACTCACTATACATCTATACAATATGTATGTATGTGCATAGGATAAGGATGATAACAATCGGCATTACAATCACATAAATTCGCAATTCACATTCACACCGGAGGAAATCAAATACGATAATAAACACTATAAGTACCTCAAGTATACCGCCTACAAGAAGGTAAGTGTTGTATTGTTCATACTTATACATATTTGCTGCATACATACATACTATAAGTAAGACTCATCCTGGCAGATATGAATGCGTGTATTTATGTATACTTAGGTCATTTTTTATGCGGTATATGCGTCCCTCAGAAAACCGCATAAAAAAAACCGCATAAAAAAGTTCTTTACTTTCATACAAAAACAAGGGATGCGTTCTAGCATTTTCAACAACCGCATGAGTTCAAATACTCCGTGTAAAAAATTTAAAACATTCGCATAAAAAATCTAGTGAAGAAATAATAAACAAAAGCAAAACAATTTATTTCTTCACTTCAACACTTTCCATGTTATTCCATGTAAAACTGAACAGTAATTAAATAAATATTTTTTTTTTCTGTATTTTAACCAAAACCAAAAAAGTACCACAAATACATGAATTATATAAGAATATAAAGACAAATTAATTATCAGAAGCATTGCCTCTTACACACTGAAAAAATGTAATAACAACATGGCTTGAAAAACCGCATAAATTAAAATCCGCATAAAAAACCACATAATATATGTGTATATAAAAGGATATAAATATAAGGATATATATATATATAACCCGAGTATTTATACATGTACATACATATGTATGTATGTACATCCAATGCATTTGGAAACCACTTTACGCAGGAGAGAATTTCCTATGCCCACCATTCTTGCTGAAGCAATTGCACAAATTTAAAAATAAAAATAAAATAAAATAAAAAAATAACTTTTTAATATACCACGTTCCTATAATAGGACTAAAGAGTAGAAAGTAATTTATCCTACACTCATAAAATTTGCCTCGATAAGTTTTGATTTTAAAATTTTTACAAAAGTCTTATTATTAGATTACGATTGATTTAAGTTATTAACTGAAACTTCAACTAAAAGTCGGCACGGTTTATCGTTATCCTACGGCCATAAAACTTCACATACATATGTATGCTATTTAGGCTAAAAAGCATAAATATTTTTCCCCATATATTCATTAATTTCATTCAAGACTAAAACTATATAAGATAGACCTAAAATTTCTATAGCGCAAGTACAAAATTTTAAATCGATTTAATCATTTGTAAAAAGTCTATCATATGCGCCCCACGTTTGTCATTTTAATATCATAATTTGTTTTGCTAAAATTTTAAAATCAAAACTTCCCAATAAACATTGGGTTCGGGAAACAATTTGAAAATGATTGAAAAACTAATGCCGTATTCTCTTCTAACGAATAAGCGGTTTATTTTGTGAATATATGAAAATTTTCAATTACAATTTCGTAAATAACACGACTAGATTTTGGTCCAGTACTCAAACAGTTCGTGTTATGGTTTTGACTTTGAGGTAATTTCTGCTCAATCTTCGCTGGCAGTGACGAATTTTATGTCACTTAAGTCTGCTAATACGATTTACCTCTTTTGAGATTGTCACTTCTCTAAGTATGAAACGTAACTATTCTCCTTGCCTTCTATTGACAGTGTAGGAAAGAGCACATTGACAATTTTGTACGATAACACCGACAGTAAATTTTACACGCAAATAAATGAATATATTCGCGAAACTATGGGTAAATTATAGTAGTTAGTTTTTCTCTCTGACGTCAGGACTTTTTTTAAGACTTAGAAATTTAAAAAAATATGATTATTTCAAAAAAATATTTAAAAAAAATCGGTGCAATGTAGGATAATAATAAGGGTATCATATAAAAGAAAAAACTCCGTAGAATTATAGCAGAATAAATTTTTTGGTGCATAAGTACGAATGGGTATGGAAAATGTGCTTTAAAAATTTTGTGCTTAAATATCCTTGAACATTTGCAATATTTAAAAAAAAAAAAAATATTGTTTGAGGACTAATATTCGCACGACCTCATCATCGAATTTCGTCCTGCAAATAAAATTTATAAAAAGCGCATTTTCAATACCAATTCGTCCTTGTAAACTAAAAAACTTTATTGTTTTTAAAGTCAACAGAATTTTCTCTCTCATTTGGTACCCATATTGTTATTCCACATTGCACTGATTTTTTTTTATAATTTTTTTAAGTAATCATATCTATAAAATTTCGAAGTCCTTTGAAAAATATATCCTGACGTCAGAGTGAAAAATTAAAAACACAGTTTCGTGAGTATATCGATTCTTTCGTGTGTTTTGAAATTTTTCCGTTTTCGTCGCACGGTGTAATCGGTCCTACAGGTCGTAGGGGAAAATAATAAGTGACCGATTATTTGATTGAAATGGAGAAGAAAAACTTTTAGAAGTCATTCCAGATAAACTGAATGAGCACCGCTACAGCTGCCTTTTAGGTATTAGAGTGGTCCAAAAAAATAAAGTCGGAGTTTTAATGCCGGCACACCCTAGGATTGATCTATATCGAAAAAAATATACCCCAATTTTTTTTTTTAAATCAAAAAATATTTAGGGAGTGCTCAAAGCGCTCAAAGTTTTCCATGTATTTTATATAGAGAAAAAACATCTTTTCGTAGAAATAGTGTAGAATTCTTGAAAATCAATATTTTTCGATCGGAAAACTTTTCTTATCTTCAGGAGACTCCCAGTAATAATACTTAATTGTTTTTTCAACAATTTTTTCATGGTAAATATATTTTATAGGTCCTCCAAAGCCCTTAGAAATTGCAATGGGGGGGACCAGTAAAAAATCTTTTATCATAAAAAAATGGTTAAATAAACAATTGGATATTTATACTGGAAGTTTCCTGAAGAGAACCACAGTCTTCCGGTCGAAAAATATTGATTTTCAAGAGTTTTATACCATTTCTACGAAAAATAGTTTTTTCTCCATATAAAATACATGGAAAACTTTGTGCGCTTTGAGATTTNGAAAAATATTGATTTTCAAGAGTTTTATACCATTTCTACGAAAAATAGTTTTTTCTCCATATAAAATACATGGAAAACTTTGTGCGCTTTGAGATTTCAAAATAAAACAAGTAAGAAAGGCTAAGTTCGGGCGGAGCCGAACATTAA